CTCTCTCTCTCTCTCTCTCTCTCTCTCTCTCTCTCTCTCTCTCTCTCTCAATCTTTCTCTCCTGACCTCTCTTTTGACCTCTCTGGAGGAGATCAGGCACTTCAAGAATATCCTTAAGGTTAGAAATGTAATAGCTAGCTCTTGTTTCTGATGAGGCTGAGTACTTAAACCTCAGTTTCCTTATCTGTAAAATGGGAGCAATCATATTTATATCTTGTTATTTTGAGGATTGTATTCTAGGCTAGTCTGTACTCAATGTAGACACATTTTTTAAATTTTCAGACTCAGGTGCTGATGTACAGAATATGCTTGTGATGAGCAGAGAATCTAATATTCCAGTACAACCCAGAATGGGATGGACAGAGTGACAAAAGCTTCCTTTCCACCCTCTCTACTCCGCCATTGCTCCTGAAATACACCTGGGCCCCTTCAGTCATCTCCTTGTCCCATTTTCTCTCCTGGGAACCTGATGCTTGCTTTTACCAACCGCAACAGTAGGCACTTGGGACTCGATAAAGAGTTCTCCCTATTTCCCCACCCCCACCCCCAAACATCCGTACCTGGACTATTGAAAGTGCCCTTCACAAGTCAAAAACACAACAAAGCAAAAAGGATTTCCGGAAATATTTTGTCTTTATGCATCCCGGTCTATTTTCTAACCCTCTGAGAAATTTTTTTGGAACTTTTTTTGAAGCACACGCCATAAAGCACAGCCAACAGGAACTAGGGTTTGGCAAAATTTAGAGATGTGGTTGAAAGCAGACCCAAGCCTGTCTATGCAAAATTTCAGAAGGGTGAATTTGTCCAACTGTTTGGCTGCTCATGCACTCCCCAAGCATTTTTCTGAAGGTTCAAATCAATCAAGGCCATCTTTAGGAGCCTCAACTATATTCTTCAGCATTACAAAATGGTCTAGGGAGTTACAAAAAGGCCTGGTTTTTTTTTTTTTTTTTTTTTCCTAAATTGATCATGGAATCAGATTAATATTCATGTTCTGGGAACAATTTTATTGGTCATTTCTAATTTTCACCATTTAGTCTATTTGCCTTTTATGGTCCTTAGTTATCTTTTTATTAGGGAGCTAAATTTCTAAGGCATAAGCTCCTTACAGTAAGAGACACTATATTTTCTATTCACTTTATAATCTCCTAACCCCAAACTGGGTTTCAAAAGAGAATGGGCACTCAAATAAGTGCAATTACCTGATCAGGACACTTGGTTCTGACTTGCTGCCTTGGGTAGGGCATGGTGGCACATGCCTGCAATTCCCAGCACTCGGGAGGCTGAGGCAGGAGGATCATTGTGAGTTCGAGACTAGCCTGGGCTACAAAGTGAGCTCAAGGCCAGCCTGAACTGTGTAGTAAGACCCTGTCTCAAAGAGACAAAAAATAAAAATAAAAATAACTTGCTGCCTGGGAAAATACAACTATTATTTCAGTGACTGTTGCCAGATCTCATGTTTAGTTTGAGATTTTAATTTACATATCTTGTTCTTTCCCAGGAGAAGAGTCAATGAAAAGAATTTTTTTCTTCTCTGGGACTCTGAGACAAGAAGAAATTATGAAGGACCTTTAAGGCAAACCAAATTCAAAGAAACATCTCTGGGTAGGCACAAGGCAAAGAGGCAAAGAAAGCCAGGTCAGTGGATCTCTCTGACTTTTATCCTGCAACCATTCAGAAATGTCCTGCTGAAAGAAACAGAAATAGCTAACATGGTAAGAAATTGGACTACGAAGTCTTGGGTGCCGGCCCCGTCTCTGATGCTGTCTGACTTGATGACCTTATACAAATTACTGCCACTTTGCAGATTTCATTTTCCCATAGACTTTCCATTTCCCCTAAATCTTGGTATACTTCTACAAATTCTGTTTTTCTGAGATGCTCTGGGGTAGGCACCTGTAGCTGATATGAGCCTGAGAGCAGTTTGGGGCACAGAAAATGTATAGAAGAGTAGGAAAGAGGACAAATAAATAGGAAATCTGTGCCTTTTGATGGGTTTACAGAAATCACACACAAGCCCTCATTAGCATTGTCTGCAGAAGTGAATGTGAGCAGCGTATATTCCACACCCTTCACTCAGGTTCTTGTTTTTTAAAGGGCCAAGAAAACCCACACCCAAATCCTACCTGGGCTCTGCTAAACTCCCCTGGAACTGAGATTAAAAATATACAGTGTCCTTTCTACAGAAACAGTCGAAATAATTAGAATGGGTTTTCCATGTGTCAATACGATCATTACCACTTAATTTTTAAATATAAACTTTACAATATGTACAACTTTATTTGGATAATACACTTACGTGTGAATTGTAGAAACCAGGCATGTATATTATATACATGTGTACACAAGCATTTGTATTCACAGGATAAGTGCATTTGATCATCTTTGATCTGTATCAGGTGGCAGGCTGACCTCATCTGAAACAATTAGTTATGAACACAGTACAATATAAAGGAATGGAATGGGAAAGGGAAGCTGCATCCTGCATACTTTTCAAGTACAGGCCCCACATAATCTCTCAGTAAGCACTTTCAACCCTGTTTGCCAAAAGAAGATGGGGTATCAGAGAAGCCTAATTTGGACTCACGTGAAAATAAACATTGCTTTTGGAAGGAAAATCACATTTACATAGAACTCTTAACATATTAAATATCAACTAATGCATTTGGCTTCCACCTACTCAAATTTTTTTTCTTGAAGTCCAATTATGTCTACTATAGTGATAGTTAATGCAAACAAGCTCCCTTTGGGAAACAACTCACGCCCCGCTCCCAAGGATTCCTGCACAACAGCTATGCACAAAGAAACAGTACAGGAATGTGCATAATGCTAACGAGTGTATTTGCCTCCTCTGAAAGATATTTAGGTTCCTCAAATTAGTATTTATCTAGGTCTTAAACCGCAAGGGATTTCAGTGCAAGGTATTTATTTATATGACAACCGATTATTAAAGCTGCACTTTTTAGGTTTAAAGGAGATAAATTTTTAATCACCATTTAATTAACACCAACTTTCTTTTTCTCTCTCATTAGCAATTCTATTTGCAAAGAATTCAGGGCATTTGTCATTTCCTGAGAAGGATGCAGAATATTAAATACACATCAGTGGTAGACATATCAAATAGAATAAACAATGTGTGACTGTGTGACTACCGTGGATCTTCTGACTAATTAACTGCCTTGGCTTAAGTCCCATTTAAATGAAACAATTTCATTTGTAAACAAGGTGTAGTTTTCTTTTTTTCCCTAGAAAATAGCTGTGAATTTATTTGACAGATTTTGCTGCAATGGGTGAATTTTAATGCTTTCATCGGAAAAGCTAAGTATTATGTTCTCTTAGGCACCCTGTAAAACTAGGAAGGGAAAACTGAGTATAAGCCACAAGACAGTCATGGTGCTACCTGAAAGAATGGAAAAAAAATTGTCAGAGGACAAGCAGTCACGAATACTCAGATTATAACCCCTCAATTCTCACAGAAGCCTTTCTGGCAGGAAGATAGACCCACTGGGGACTTGCCTACTTGGCACAGTGAACCCAGATGTGCCCTAAGAACCAGAAGATGTAAGGATGGTGCAAACTATTTTCCAGAGCACTAAGATTCCTCAGAGTAGAGTTCTGGAAGCCTCCAATTCACAGAGTATTTTAACAGATTGCATGTATGCGCCATTACCCATTGGGAGAAACTTGGCTGCTACATCCAGGTATGCCTATCTAAGGACTGCACTTTTGGGATGGTGGATCTTTCCCAAGTGGGGAAACCATTTATTAGTGAAATAGCATTATAGATGCAATCCTGACTTAAGCCAAGTAAAACTCAGGCATTTGGGTTCAGAGATTCTTGCCTCTTGGTATCAAATCTATGGTCTCAGAGCAGGGGTATACCACAGGAATCCTCTGTAATGGACCATAATTCAGAGCTTGATAATTATTTCTTTACCTTTCTTTACTGTAGATACCATTTACCAATGAATGTTATATTTTGGATATTCCTTTTCCAAAAACTAACTAATTTGGGTTATCTTTGAATAACTCCATATCATTATCTTTTACTTGGAAAATGACCCTCTGATTTTCTTTTTTGAAATCATCACATTTAAGAATCAGTGCTTTAGCAGACAGTGCTAAAAGAAGTATATTTTTTCTACTACATTTTTTGTGTTGCTGTGGTACCAGGAATTGAACTCAGAACCTTGCACTTGCTGGGCAGATACTTGTGCCACTGAGCTATATCCCCGGCCTGCTACATTGTTTTTAGTTCTTCCGAAAACCACAATTTGATTCTTTATCCAGATAGTTATGGAGTTAATAGCGGAAGTATTAGCAGGCTTTTTGATATAAGGAGTCAACCCAAGGGTAATTGCTGTCTCCCTAGAGATTTTGTGACATTTGGTAGCCCTCTTATTTTTGAGGACACCAGAGGAACACAGAAAACCTCTTTGGACTAATCACATACCATTGCTCTGGATGCTGGGGAGACTTTTTAATTTATTTCATGTTAAGACATGCTAGTCTTGTGAGGACAGAGAGGTGATCTTAGCAGGGTAGATGCAGATCTGAATGTAATGGGAAGGCAAAGGCAGAAAGTGCTGAAAGAATATACAATCAGAAAAACTTAAATTTAAGATCAGAAATTGGGGTGACTGTTCAAGATTCATAAATCCAGCAGTTTCCCCCTGCTGGGTCTTGGAACCACAAAGGGACAGCATAAAAGACATAATGTAATTTTTAAGTACATTGGTTGCCAGCATCACCTCGGCCACTTCTGCTTTTCAAGGATGATTGACATGCTCCCTCCCTATGCTTCCCTTTGCTGTTCCACCATGGACACTCAAACTTATTGCAGCCACTTTTCGTCAATATAGAAATATTGTAGGTTGGGTGCACTTTTCCAGAGACAGAGGCATTCAATGTATTCTTGAGCTCCAAGAGAATCATCTCCGGCACTTACCCACTTACAGGAAGATACTACTTACAAAACAGAATACACAAGAGGAAAAGAAACAAGGTAATTTTTCAGCCTGCCATTTTGTCTCTTTCTCCAAGAACTCAAAACAAAATGCAGGGAAAAAACTGGTAAATGGCCAGGCTTGCTCACATGAGCTTAGGGCTTCTACTGTATGTCCCCAAACAGAATGAGGTTCTCTGCAAAACTTGATGGGTAGTTAGCCTAATCATTTCAAGAATACTAATGTATTTAAACTATAACAATTAATGGAGTAGAACCATATAAAATGCTTAATTAGTATTGTTTGCTGGTTTTATGGTATTTAATTTTTAAACTAGAAAATCCTGGTCTGAAAAAGCTTCATAACATAACAACTACCTTTTCCCCTGGACACTTTGTTACAGGGAGGTGCTATGCTAAGAAGCTTAGCTTTCCTAAATCTTCCCCCTCTTTCACCAACCATTTTAAATAATGACTGTCATTCATACCATATATGCACAGATTTGAGTAAAATAAGAATAGGATGGTGCAAGTGGTTCAGAAATGATAAATGCATTGAGAATTATTCATACATTGGTTGGTGCTGGTGAAATAGTTTTCTTCCAATAGAAAGAATATTTCAGAAGAGAGAAATCACTTGTCTCGCTAAGCTTCATAGTTTGGAGGGTGCTCAGGGTAGATGCATGAGTGTTTCATGGTTTGAAGGCCTTTGATATGAGGAGGTTGGGTGACAATGAGTGTCCAAGAGAGTTTCATGACATTAAGGAAGATAAACCTAAAGAGCCGTGTAAGCCTTGGGCAGACAGATGGCATGGTACTTCTTACAGATCACAGGACACATATGGCTGTTGGCACATGTCACCACATTAACAACTCTGGGGACAGCAATACACAGCTAATTAGATGCCATCATGGCTGTTCAGGGGCTGAACAAGTTATGGGTACTCTGGGAAGGACGAGGTAACAGATACTATACAACCCTGAGTCATCACCAGAAGGGAGAAAATGCAAACTTACGTACAGAGGAGTCTTCAGGATAAACTACAATGGCCACTGTGCCATAGACAGAAGATCCACACTTAGACAGCGAAGACAGAAATGTGTCAGTTTATGCAGCTCTGAGCGAGACCATCAAAGCCAAACGTGAGAGAAACACACACATCAACATCCAAAGAGATTCCTGTAGCTCTCTGCCTGAGAGTATGTCTGGCTTTTTGTTCCAGATGTGTTTTGGGAATGGACTGGAATGAAGGTAACACAGGTACCACGAACACACTGATTTGCTATTCTTTGGGGGAGCCTGATGTCTCGGGGTTGGGCCTGGGCTGTGAATGGAAGGCATAACAATAAAGCTGAGAACGGTTACAAGCCAAACTTCCTAATCTCTTGCACATGTCAATCTCACTACAGTGCAGATGCATTCTTAACTGTTTTATTGTCTGTGTCAGATTTACATGCATACCATATTGCTTATTCTGTATTAGAGAAACCATCAGGCATTTCTGATGAAGAAATTATATGGTGGACTGATCTTAATGGAATTTGGAATATAGGAAATCATAACATCACCATCAGCATCTAGTGCATCATTATTGCCAACATACCTAGTAGGCATGTCCCGGAGATTTGCCCTTATTTATGTATTTGTTTTTGGTTAAGGACTCACCTATCTGGTATCTGTCATACTCAGCACAAATGTCGTAAGACTCCTTGAGTGGAAGATTATGGCATGGAGCCATGTGCAAAAGAGCCAACAAAAAAAATACCTCCCTAAATCCTCTTCCTCCTAGCAGGGCACTATTGGACATCCAACATTTACCCTCCAGAACGTTGGCTATTACATATGTTTCCCTATAGATAAAACATTAATGGAAGATTTTAAACATCAGATTCGATACTAGGCATTTTCTTGTACACACGTCTATTGCTGCAGGAATTTAAAACCCTGGGGGTAGAGTACATATTATTCTTATTTGCAGCATAAGGCATAACATGCTCTGAAATATACACGTCACTGTGGCCCCGACTGTCCCTAGAACAGTATGATGCTGTTGACCTCAAGGATGATCGAAGGTAGCTGTCATTCACTGCCTGTGATGGCAAGGAGTGTTTATAAGGGTCGGAGGGGCATCTCCCAATAACTAAGCGTTGATCATCCCTGTAGGAGTGAAGGAAAGGGTTATCAGAAGTGTGGTCTGGCAAGAGAGACTTGCTCCTCTTGCTGTCCTCCAGACCTTGGGGGAAAAGGGAGCTTTTGTTCCCCGAGAGTTTGCTTGCGGGGACACTAAACAGGCTCCCATATAAATTGCCCTCCAAGAGCCTCTCCCTGTCCTTGAGGCTTATGCTCCGGGAAGGCTTGCTGAGGTCAATCTCCCTGGGTTTGTCAAGGATGTTATCGTAGGAATGCTGACGGCTAATCCTCAGCTTGTTCTTCTGCAACTGAAGTGCATTGTTCTGTGCCCAGTCTTGCTGGTAGACGCCCTCCTGGCCGGCTGGGTTCCCAGTCTCCTGCAGCATCTGGTCTTCATCAATGTCGTAGAGATTCCCCATCCGCAGGCAGGCATCACACTTGAAGGGGGACCTCATGGTGAAGTGGCCAGAGTAGGTGGGCAGGTTGGAAAGGCAGCTTCGGCAGTGCGTGGAGTTCTGCCTGTAACGGTCACTACCTTCACTGTGAGGGGAACCCTTGTCTTTCAAGGTGAAGTGCTTGGCATACAGCTTGTACTGGTCATTGTTGGGAGGCCCTTCTTCATTGTGCAGAGGGTTCCTGTTTATAGGCAGTGTGGAGTCCCCTTTGCGGAAGTTCTCACTATGATCCTGGTAGGGATCTGGGAAGCCCACGTTCTCTTGTAGGGATATGTTTTCAGCAAACTGGGGAGGATCTAAGTGGAAACTAGGCTCCTTCTCACCATCGATGGTGTAGATCTTGTCCCTGGGAGAGCTGGCTTTGGTTTTCAGGTAGGTACGTTCAACCTCACTGCAGTCCTTGGGGTACTTGGAGGCCATTGACCTTTTGAAGTTGTCCTTGGTTTTATGGTTCTTATTGTTGTCGGGTTCCCTGTGGCATGTGGCCCGACTTGAAGTTTCTGAAATATCAGAATGGGCTACTTCTTCTGGAAGGTACCTGGTGCTCTTTAGGGAGTGGGTCCTGTTCTCCACTGTTGCCTCCTCCCTCTGGGAGACTGGATTCTGGCTCAGAGAATCTTGGCGTAGAGACTCCATGGATTTCTTCCAGAGCTGCCGGGGTCTAGAGTTCCCTTTGGATTCCGTGCTCACAGCCACCTGCACTGTGTTGGGGTTGGACTCATTGAGTGTAAGAGGATGCTGTCCCTGGAACACATAGTTATTGAGGTTATCCTTGTGCCTGTTGGCCACAAATGTTTGAAGTTCATTCATATTATCTCCAAAAATGCTGTCCTTCCCCTGGAAAGACCTGTTGTCTGCATATATCAAGTTTCCCTTGTCTGAAACCATATCCATGATGAGGGAGCCTCTTTGGATAAAGTCAGCCGTTCTTTTGGGGGATTCCATTCTCGAGGAGTTCATGTTGGACATGTTGGAAATGTTTTTGGCTGACCGGAGGAGCTTTAGCATGTTGCTCTGGGACCCAGTCAGGTTGAAGTCTGGAGACTTCTTCTTTTCTTCAATGTGTACTCCATGAATGCAGCTGTAGATGCCCTGTGAGGGAGCAACACAAAAGAGCAATCAGCAGCAGCCATTGGCTTAGAACCACTTTTACCTACATTTTACCTGCAAAGGTGAGATATGTGCTTCTATACAGAAGCCTTGGAGAAAAAATACTGGCATTCACCCTGAGTCCTGATCATTTTCTTTAATGGATGAAACAAACTACAAAGGACCAGGTGTACTCTACTTCTTTGGTTTAGAGCAGAGTCAACTTTGCAAAGAGTCACACAAGGCATTCAGGAAAAATTATCAACTGATGCTCTCACAACTATAAATATCTCTGTGCCTCCAAACTGGTAGAGAAGGATATTTAACCCTTCCAGCACCCAGTTGACCAAATCATGATTTCTTCATGGTCCGCAGCATCATCATAAAGAGTTTGCCTATCAGAGAGTTAACTACTGCCTATCAGAGAGTTAACTACTGACAGGCAAACTAAGCAAAAACAGGGGTCACCTCTGATTAAATCTTTGCATAATTTATTTCTACTTATATGCAAAAGCTCTTTATCAAGGAATTTGGGCCAACCAAAAATTCTTTTCTCCCTGGATTAATGAATAATCTAAAGGAGGGCATGGAATCCATGTGAGGGTAATGTAACTTTTGATGGAGGCATATCCACATCTACAGATGCTCAAATAAAAGGGGGTGTTGTAGGGTGTAGCCTTTTTTATTTTTAAAGGAGTGAAAAATAATAATAAAACATTAGAAATGATACAGAATTTCAAAAAAATAAGATGATAGGAATTCAACAATGGATGTTATATTGCATATTGTTGTCTTTAAAGTAGTTGTTCAGATTACCAGATATAAGAATGGAAAATTGGTCAAAAATTTTAAGCATTAACTGTGCCTTTCAGTAAACCAACAGAAATTAGAAATTAGTAGTACAATTATCTTAGCTATCTTGTGTGTGTAAATATATATATATATATTTTTGTGTGTGTATATCTATATCTATCATCTATCTATCTACATCCTTTCATTCTTTCTTTCTTTCATTCTTTCTTTCTTTCTTTCTTTCTTTCTTTCTTTCTTTCTTTCTTTCTTCCTTTCTTCCTTCCTTTCTTTCTTTCCTCCTTTCCATCATCCCAGTTGTTCTTTCCTTTTGAGCAGTTTCTTTCCCTTTCACAATATATATTGTACCATTCAGATTGTATTTATTCTTTCAGGAACCAGGAGAGACCCAGAATAGCAAAAGTAATCCTGAGCAATAAAAGCAAGGCAAAAGACATTACAATCCCTGACTTGAAATTATAATACAAAGCTACTATGATAAAATTAGCATGGTAGCAAAAAAACAGACCTGAAGATCAATGGAAGAGATCAGAAAATGCAGACACAACTACAAGCACACTTAGCCATCTTATCTTTGACAAAGGGGGATACACATGTTCACTGAAAGAAAGATAGCTTCTTTAATAAATAGTGCTGAAAAAACCAGCTCTACATATGTCAGAGACTAAAACTAGACCCATGTCTATCACCATGCACTAAACTAAAGTCAAAATGGACCAAATATCTCAATATTAAAAACGGGTCTAGTCTTATTGTCATGTGGAGATGTTAGCCTGAAAGTGAATCTATCACAGTGTAATACCCAAGGGAAAGAGGGACATGATTTGGGACTCTGGACCAATCCTCTTGGGCTTCTTAATACATTTAATGTATTTTTTGCAGGCTTTGTGTATGACCTTGTTCGATGCAGTTAGAATTGGTTTTCATTACTAGTAAAAGTGAAGAAGTCTCAAGACATCCTGTTACTAGTTGTGAATATACAGGAAGCTGGAGGATTTGTGAATTCCTGGGCAACTGAAATGTGATCACCCCCATTCCCAAGTCTCCTCATTTTCTGCTCCTTCCTTTCTTAAACTTGGCTTTCACTTAAAAGTTTAAGTGTTTAACTGTTATGAAGGAAAGCATTCTTGATTCACATAGTAATAATAGGTGCAAAACACTGATAACATTTTAACCTGAGGACATCTTGCTTCTCCCTAACCCTAATCCAGATTTTGGCAACCTATCTGAAGGTAAAAGTCAGGTCAAGGTTTCAGGATTCTATCTGATCTTCCAGAATCTGTCAGGGGCCAACCAAGAAGGGATGAGTGAGGCAGATTCAGCAGCTCCTGCTGATTTTGTTATAAACTATGGGATCATACCATACGTATGATTCATTGTAGACTCTGATAATGGTGGCTCCACTGGTCCCTGTGGTGGGGACAAACTTAACTCACAGGGATGTTTGTGAAATTGTGGCAGCCTCAATGGTTTTGCACAGCTGCATTTTCTTTCTAGTTTAGAAAGACAGTGTCCACTCCAGCCTTCTTGGATTGGTAATCAGGAAAGCTGACAACTGTGAGTTTGAGCATTTCTTTCTCTGATCTTCTCAACCAGGCTTCCCGGAGAAGGCTCGACGAGGCTTCAAGCACTAGCATTGTACCCTTTGCTTCCTCCCTGAAGCCTGGTCATTATTCTCCTTCTCTGTATCCGCGTGGCTGGCTGTTCATGCTCACAGCCCCTCCCTGTGGTTTCCTGACTGGCTGGAGCTTCCAAACTGTGGATGTGAAAATCATACAGATGTGCCATGTATTTCACAAAGCACAGTGCTGCTCAATTTGGTCTGTGACCCAAGCCTTCCTCCTCCAACTTAGCAATATAATAAGCTTATACTCTAACCTAGAGGGATTATGCCGGTATGGATGAAACTGCTATGTTTCCTGTATTTCAGAAACAGCTGAGGACTATATCTCTTTTTATTGTTAGCATTATGAAAAGAGTAATTTTGAAGTTTTTCCTTAGCTTGAAATTTTGTTCTAACAAATTCCCATCTTTCACTCTGGATATTCTAAGAACTTCCCTCTGCTCTTTTCACCCTCAGAGAAATATACATCTTCCTGGCAGGATGAGCTGGCTGTCTTTGTGTTTGGAGGTCAGGGCTCTCCCGTGTTGCAGTTAGATGGGAGGTTGTCTGCAGTCTGCTTTCCCTTGGTTCTTTTGTTCGTGGAATGACTATGGCATAGCTGAGGAAGTTTCCAGGTTCTGGTCTTCCTGGACCACAGACAGGAGGCAACCTAATGGACCCAGTCTATGCCCCAGGTTTGGATGACAGCCTCCTCCAACTGAATGGATCCATGGACAGTTGAATAAGGAAGTGCATGTTACTGAATAATAGGAAGAATCAGAGGCCTGGAGGTCACCACACTGGAGTTTCAGCTTTATCATGCATTAGCCCCGTGGCTTTGGTTAAGCTGTTAAACCTACGTCAGTCTCAGTTCTACATCTGTACCGTAGGAATCATATCCTGTTCAAGGCGAGGTGCAAGCACAGGACAAAAGAATGCAAAAGAGGCATCTAACACCATAGGTGCTCAGTACATGGGGATTAGAGAAATGGTCCCATCACTGCCCTGCCCTTACCTCTTTCTCCTTTCAGACCAACTTGAGTATGCAATGTTCATTTTGTCAAAGCTTCAAGAGATGTATACTACTTTCTCATACTAAAGGTTGTCCTGGACAGTCACTTTGGCTTCTGGTTAGATAACCAGCCCAAATTCTATCCAGGGAGCTGAATAAACCCCTAAGCTAGAGTTTCTTTCTTCCCTACACAGCTCCCTCTCTTCTCTTTTCTATTATTCATTTACACTCTGGGTACATGTTATGGGTTGTGAAAACAAGATGCCCTTTTGGTACCTCTGTGCTCTGAGTCAAATAAAATTAGCATTGACGACTAAATACATCATTCCAGACAATTTGCTCTGCTTCTCTGGAGGTTGTCTGACTCCTCAGAACACTGTCTCCCCAGAACTCCACTATCCTCCTTCCACTCTGGGCCCAGTCCCTCAAGCGTCCAGTTTCTATTGTTCCCCATTATGAGTTAGCCCAAAGCATCTCCCATGCTGTTTCTAAGCTCCCCACGTTGCTCACCGCGAAGAGAGCTATGGTTGTGTCACCCCTGGACTTTGCTTCACTATGTGTCCCATTCCCCGAATTTCAGGAGACGACCATGGGCGTTCCTTTCATAATGACAGGGAGTTTTTTATCTTTTGCTGAATGGGAGGGAAAGCATTTTGGAGAGAAATAAACCTTACGAGCATCCCATAGACAAAAGAATTGGTTTTCGTAAGTTGTAATAAAAGACAAGGTCATAGCTGTATGAGAAGCTTTGTTCCTGTGTTAAATAAACATCTTCTTTGAGCTCTGGCCACGTCCTCTGGAAGTGCCGGTGGTGCATGTGCACCTCAGTTAGTGTTTGTATTGATTCCCAAGAGCTTCTCAGACATATAAGGAGACACGAAGGGCTAACTGCTTGCTGTGAGATGTCAAAGTTAACTGAGTTAGCGGGGTACTCAGCCTGCTCAAAGGAGAACTGGTGGTGGATAGATTGAGGCTCTGTGAAGAGCAAAGCTGTCTAAGGGAGACATAAACCTCAGAGCGCAGTGCATCAGCATCCTTAGAACAAAGATGAACTCTGAAGTAGACTAAGGCATGTGACTCAGTCTTGTGTGAACAGAAAGTTTCTCTCCCTCATGCCTTTTTCTTGCCTGATGAGTGGAGTGAGAAGAACCTTGTCATTTTAAAGAAACAAAAAGTGAGCTCAAAAAGATCCCATACTTTGGGGCCTCAGTTTCTCCATCCATAGGATAGGTGTGATAGGGCCAACCTCATGGGTATTTTGAGGATTAGGGATGACACAGAAAGCAAACCTGACCCAGGCTCTTGTCTTCACACCAGACATAATTCTCCCCTGTTGGGAGCTCACCACTGCAGTGACTGTGTGCACAGTGAGTATGCTTTCATTTTCCATGCCATCTGCACTGTGTGAGTTACATGCATGTAAGACGGCACACATGTGAAGGTGTATAGGAGAAAAACTTCAGAGGCGGCGATAGCCCTTGATCAGACAGGAAGAACACTTTCTGGTTTTTGTTTTTGCAGCCCAGAGCCCTGCTGTATACATTAGGGGCTTGAGCTTATTCTGAATTTCACTAATAAACTAGAGAGGGAGGAAAATATCATTAAGAATGAGGCTTTCCTATCCATAAATCTCAGCTTGCACTTTAAAACACAACATGATTTGGGGAAGAGAGACAATGGTCAGGTAGGGCCCTTTGTATCCTTTAAGGATAGAACACTGATCACAGCGGTGAGTTCCCCAAAAGGTACAGGACTTCCTGCATTTCTTTCACAGCACTGGGCCCTCTCTGCCCTAGGGAAGGAAAGATCAGAGTTTAAATTGCACCTGTCATGAAACACTACCACAAAGCCTACCCCTTCACTGTTCAGTTCCCCTTCACTCGCACCCCTCAAGATGCTTGGAAAAGGGAGTGAGGGATTTAGTTCATTTCTCATAATGATGATTCTATCAACTTGACTTCCTCCGTGGTTTCTCAGATAGAGGCAACACTCTTGCAAAAACAAGCAAGATTTACAAGTAAATGGCAACAGCATGCCTTTGCTCAAGACAACCCCATAATCATTTGGATATGAAAATCCTTTAGCAATTGGCTGGCAAAATTACTTTATAGTTTGCATAATACCTAGCTCTATGAATGCATGTTGTTATTTTTAAGCAATCTGTGTGTTTAGATGCCATCAAGCTAATTAGGAAATATGTATTTGCACAGAACCCAAGTTTGCAGCTAAATTGAATGGAGAAAATAAACCTTCCCCACTAAGCTACTGTGTACCTTCTAAATCTCCAAAGTTCTTAAAATTATGAAATGCTAGGAATATGCAAATTTACTTTAAAGTGATTACTTTGTTTTCCCAATAAACATTAGCGTATGAGATAAGATGTTTTTAGCCAGAGAATTTTTACCTTGTTTCAAATCCTAATTTATTAAGCTCTTCCCAGGTGAAAAAAAAAACACCAAAGTGGGCAAATGGAAGAAAGAAATAAAGAGATAGATGATTGATAGGTAGATACATGAACAGTACATATGTATGCACTTGTATTATAATACATGTAAGTGATTAAGCTCTGTTAAATGTGTAAACATATGTAAGTTGAATATGCATATTTTTAAGTATGACAGATGTCAGATCTTTTGTGTTGCTTGTATTTGACAGTTTTAGTTTGTGAAAGAGTGAGGGTTTTCACAGGTAGCAGAATATCTGGACTGAAATCCTGACTCTACCTTACTGACTGAACTGGGTTAATTCTCCTAGCATCTACCTTTGAATTTGTCATTTGCAGTCTACAGCGAATATCCATATCTACCTCATAGTTTGTTTGTAGATTGAATGAGAGGAAGAATAAGAAGTTCTCATATTGTGCCTGACTCATACAAGTGCTCCATAAATACAGTATAAGCATTTCCAAGATTGTACCATTATTGATGAACTATGTCAGATGTGCATCGATGGCAACGCACATCCCATAATGTGCAATGTGAACGGAGGCTCTCCTGAATTGCATGTAGTTGACTATTGCATGTGTATCTGTGCTTGTTTAGGTTGAGTTGTGTGTGTATTTTGTACATCCCATAATGTGCAATGTGAATGGAGGCTCTCCTAAATTGCATGTAGTTGACTATTGCATGTGTATCTGTGCTTGTTTAGGTTGAGTTGTGTGTGTATTTTGTTTGATGTTTAATGTATGTGCATGTTCTTCCTTTACTTTTCATCTCTGTTTCAGTTCAAATCCTTGCTGGGTTACACACACTTTTTGTGTTTTCTTAGAGCTGTGTATGGGAGGATTTATTTGGGCCCCACTTAGTTATTAATATTGAAAAATTGAAAGGTTCTACATTCACTCAGATAATACTTTTGAAAACTAGAACACCTGATAGTATTGGCTCTAATGCCCACAAGGTAATACATAGCAAGGGCTAAGTCTAACTGATCCCTCTGGGGCAAACATGACACTGCTAACCACAGTCTCGGGTTCCCTATTGTTTTCTCTTTGACATCCAGGTTCAGCTGCTATGTTTCATCTTGTATGTGCCATTCACCTCTTTCCCAGCCAACGCTACCCAGTCCCATTCCCATTCTGGTTTCTACAGTCCCCTGAGTTTACAATCACTGGTTTATGCAAGACCAAAGTCTAGATGCCCTTCTGACAAGCTTACAGAGTGGGTAAATGAGGGGAGGCCCTGCAGACCCCAGAGGGAATTTTAAAATGCCAGAGTCTCTGAAATCCCAGGGCTTTTCTGAACCTGTCTGATGCATGAGGCAATGGTCGCGGGCAGTACTGACCCTGCTGATGGAGAAGAGCAGCCCAGGCCGGTCGGAGCACACGCCCGTGAAACAGAAGCGCAGCTTCCAGTAGAAGAGGTGCTCCCAGATGAAGGTGATGAGGCTGAGGGCCATGGCTGCTGCCAGCATGTAGAACACACCCGCCATGTTGTCGATGTCCAGCTGGCTGCTCATCACCTCATTCTTCTCGTTGTGACAGATGCCTGTAAGCCACAATGTCTCCAGCTCCTCCATCTCACCTGCGTGGAACATAACACCCACAGGCAGTAAGCACCACAGCATGCGCTTTGGGGCAGACACTTTTGGGTTAGGGACAGACAGGCATGACCTTAAGGTTGCTGAGCTCCACTTGCCTTCGGTTGCCCACTGGTCGACTGTAGTAATGATAACAGCACCTGCCTCATATCATTATGGAGAGAATACAATTAGATAACATCTCTGTATGGCAAATTTGGCACAGTTCCCTGATGGATTTGGTTTGGGTTGTTATTGTATTGTTTCTCTCTGGCTTTCCCCTATCCCTGCTGTCCAGAATAAACCAGAATAAACCAGCAGTGGGGATTAACCAGCAACAGGCTACACTGGAAAAATTTCATTTCAATTATCACTTCATTATCTATTAGCTCTGCAATCTTGGAGCTACATTTATCTTGTTTGTGAAATGGGTAGAGCAGTAATGTGCTTACTTCCCAGAGTTGTGGTGAGAGGAAAAAAAAAATATATTGTGAAGTACCTGGCTCACAATAAGTTCTTTAAATAATAGCCTTTGCTACTACTTATTTTTATGGAGAACCCTGCCAGGATATTCCCTGCCTTGTGTTAGTCCACATATAAAATACTTCTTTCTTCTCATCTCTTAGAACATCCAGAATTACTCCAAAAAGTTAACCAAGACCAGTATGCTTAGGGCGCAACACTTTAATGGAAAAATACATCTCTGGCCCTGAACTGTCCTTTGCAAACTGAAGACCTTCGCTTTTCAGTAGGCAGTTAGAGAAGCAGGTGGATTTTTTCAGTGCAAAAATAAAAATGTAGGCATGCTTACCATTGTTTTCTCTCTCGTTTGTGAGTTTCAGCTAGTCACCACTTAGGAGAAATTCTCAGCTATAAATGTCTAGTAATTACACTAACTGTCTAGCAAGCACTGAACTATGGCACTTAGACTATGATTCAGCTTTCAAAATTATCTTTCAAGGGTAATGACATCAAAGATGTATATACTATTGAGTGAAAAGTATGGCTATATTGTGTATGGATATGTGTAAGTGATTGCTAAGATGCAGTAAAAGATATTTGGGGAAAAAGAAATGGTTCAAATGTTTTTACTGATTCTCCTTTAAAAAACTTAATTGTGATTATTGATTTCATATGGGTGTCTTTAATTTTTATGACATTAGTATGTATAATTTTTGGTTTGTTTTCACTCTTGAATGAGTTTGACATGAGAATCTAAGTTGATGATGATTTTCCTTTTGCCTTCTGAAAATATTATTAGATTTTCTTCTGATCTAGACTGCAAAAAGTGGCTAATCTTCTCTTTGTCCTTACCTCCTATTCAATCTATATTTCCTCTGGAATTACTTTTGAGCCTTTTATTTTGTTTTGGAGTGGAATATAAGTGTGGATTTGTCTTATTTGGGCTTTGAACTCAATATAATTCTTCAATCTGATGATTCAAAACCTGGATTCAGACAAAAATCCTATATATTATCATTTTAAATGTTAACTCTTCACACTATCCACTTTCAACATCATTCCTCTCTCGGCCCTTCCCAAACCCTGGCAGTCACAGGTCTTTTAATTGTCTCCATGGTTTTTGTTTTTTCCAGAATGTCATAGAGTTGGAATCATGTGTGTGTAGCCTTTTTGGACTGATTTCTTTTACTAAGTGATATGTGTTTGCAGATCCCCCTTGTCTTTTCCTGGATGATTAGTTCATGTTTTATCACCAACAATATTCCACGGTCTAGAAGTATAATTCACTCATCCATTAACCTATTAAAGGATGTCTTCCTTTCTTTCAACTTTGGGCAATCACAAATAAAGTCACTATAAACATAGGTGTAAGTTTTTGGATAGACATATTTTCCTCTCTTTTGGGTAAAAACCTAGGCCTGGGACATTATTGCTGATTGTATGGGAAGAGTATGTTTTACATTGTAGGAAACTCTATTGTCAAGTGACTCAACCATTTAACATTCCCACCAGTAAGAAATCAGAGTTCTTACTGTTCTACCATGTCACCAGTACTGAACAGTGTTGTCAGTGTCGGGATTTTGCCATTTTAATAGAGTTGTGGTATTATTTGATTGTTTTATTAGCAATTCTCAAATGGTCTGTGATAATTATTTTGTTTTCCTGAAAAGTTTCTTTAAATATTCTGGACTTTCACATTCTGCCTTCTAGGTTACTAACCTTGTTTTAGTATTTTGCATTTCCTGTTTCTCTGGGCCACAGTTGAATGATTCCCACTGATCTCTTTTTCTAGTTCATTTATTCTTTCATTAGTAATATTTAGGTTTATGTTTTAATCTAATTAATTTGTGGTTTTTTGAGACAGGGTCTTGCTGAGTAGTCTAGGTCGGTTTTGAACTATGTAGTCCAGGCTGGTCTGAAATTCTCAGCAATCCTCCTGCCTCAGCCTCCCGAGTGCTGGGATTACAGGCATGCACCACCACACCCAGGTTGTGTTTTAATTTTAATCTGTTCAACTGGGATATTCATTTGGATCCTATACAGTTCTGACTTTCTTATCATAACACCCTATTATTTTATTATAATTTTAAAAACTTTTATATATTTAATACTTTCAAACCTATAATCTTACAGATTAATGCTTGGGCTTCTCATTCTTCTGTTTCCTGTGCACCAAACCTCATGGTGGTTTGCTCCCTTGTGACATTTGTAACTTTTGATCATAAGTGAATCCTCTGCAGAGGTGTTCTCTAAACATTATGGTCCCCCAAGAACACTGGGTTATGTAAATATTCTACAGAGGATTTCTTGGTTTGCCTCTGCCATAGCTCCAGGGGCTTTCAATGTATAAGTTTTTTATGAAAAATTTTCTGTGCAATTGCGGCACCATTTGCGCAGCATTCATTTGGATTCCCATCCTCTTCTGTGTTTCAATTTCTCCCTCAGTGCTTCAAACAGATGGCTAACCCCCTTGCAGTTTCTTCACTTTGATGGACAGAAATGTGCCTAGTTTCCTTTCCACAGACTAAATGACTCATTGAAGGTCTCAGATTTGTTAATCAGAAGGGGAAAAGTATACATATTTATGAGAGAAAAAAATAGGAAGCTTATCCCTCTTAACAAGTTCTTCGCGCACAAAGGAGGGTGCTGGTTTATCAGTGGTATAGGCAAAGGGCTTGAGAAGCGGCATCTTCATTCCATTCCCTTCCAGCACTTACGCAGTCATGTCGCTGCAGATTCTGCAGTATTATTTCACTGTCCACCCAACACCATAAATTTATCCAAATCCCTCTGTCCACCAGGTGCCTCGAAACTTACATAATTACTTCCTTGCTGGCAAAACCTCCACTGTCATCTCTTTCAAAATACACCGTGCTGTGGATTTTCCCCTCCCTTTGGAGCTTGTGAGGACACAAAAATGGGTCTTCTTCCCATGACTCATCACCTCCCAGCACAGCCTTTCTTTGGTGTTGTCCCAAGAGACAGCCAAGTTTACAAGCCTGTAACAGCGATAGTCTGGCTGTAAGAATCGTCACCTTGTTCTTTTCAGGATGTAGAGATGAAAGAATTTTCCTATGTCCTTAGCTCAAACAACACCTCTCTTTAGAACAAGTCAGCGTGATAAACCAGACCCAAATTCCAAAAGGAGAGCGAATTCACATTTCTCAATACCAATTACAGCCTGTTCCAATCATTTTCCAGTTAATCATTTCCTGCCTCGTGGACCTCTTTGACTAGTATACTGAACCGTAGTTCAAATACTTTTTTATTTCATTTTAAATTTACTCAAGTATATTGTAATCTCCTTGAGGGAGACCAGGGACCATGTTTTATGGTTTTGATATTTCTCGTGGCCTACAGCACATAGTAAGCACTGACCCCATATTTTCGGTTTCTGTTTTTTTTGTTTTGTTTTGTTTTATTTTGTTTTTGTTTTTTTCCTGCTATCTCCAGGCTTAACTGGAGCAGAACTGAAAAATGCTCAGTCCTGCCTGGTGAGTTTTACTGCCACGTTAACAGAGGAAATACAGAACAAAGAGACTTTGGCCATGGGCTTGGGAGTCAGCCTGGGAAGTGTGCTTGCCCTTAGGTAGGCATCAAATGCCATCTGCATGAGCAGTAGCTTTGTAAAGCTCATCCTACCATCAGTTTATCCCATACAAAGAGGTCAGTGGCTTTTTCAGTGTTATCTTGTGACCTAGGGCTGGTAAATAGGACAATTAAATTTCTTTTCTGAAGTGGACTGTGAAGACATAAGCTTTCCTGGCTGTGAAGACATAAGCTGAATGCTCTGCTGGGAGAAGATGGAACCTTGCATTGACCCAAACCTTGCTCTGGGTTTACAGCCATCCATATGCTCTTCCTTTCCTTACCTGAGAAGATTTGTCCTCATAAAGCACCAAACCTTCTCCTCCTTTTCTGTTTATACCTCTAATGACAGAGAGCTCAGGAACATATGCAGATCTCCCCTGTACCATGGGAAGTTATACCTGTGAGAAGTTCTTCCTATCTCTGTCTTCAGGGCAGATGTTGCCAGCCACAGGTGTCTCTCCCAAACCTTGAGCTTTGCACCATCCAGAGAAAGACTGTAAGTCCAGGACATGGAGCAGCATGTCACATCCTGCTCCTTTTCTAATGTTGGCAGCATTAGAAGATAGAGAGGTGGTGTATCAAAAGTTAAGAGCCAGAGAGATGTAAAACCTAACAGGGAACAAAATGTGCAGACAACCAAGGGTGTTTTGTGTGTGGGTCTCAGACGTGCTTCCATTGGTTGCTTGGGTGATGCTGCAGGAGGCTGCTTGAAGCACACAGCTTGGTACAGGCAGGGTACATAGTACAGGCTGATGCACAAGCACATGGATTTTTCAGATTATCCCCTCACAAGGTAGAAGCTTCATATTTGCAAAGAGGAATAAATGAAAATTCACAAGCTATACCACCCAGAAAATCACAAGAAAGAATGTTCTAGGTAGAAAACATTACAATGAGCTACAACATTACAATGAGCTCTAGAAGATTTTGGAAATCATATCATCCTATCATA